TGCCTGGTGTACAAGGGACACCCAGCTCTCATTGTACCTCCTCCCCCCCACTTTCCCAATCTAGAATGTTCTAAGAGACAGAAAGCAGAGAGTAGGAATGAACTGATCATTGCTGGGGTGACAGGCTTTTACTAAAGGGGGTCAGTGCAGGAACCCCAGATGGATCAATGATTTGGATGTGCGAATAATGTGTAATATTTCCAAATCTGTTGATGAAACAAAACAGTGTGGGGACGTTAAGTAGTGAGGGGGATATAAGAGGGTGTGGACAGTCTGGGGAATGGGCCCGAATGCAGCAGATGGGATATCATGTGGATGAAGGTTATTCGCTTTGAGGAAGGAAGTGCAGGGAGGCAGATTGTTTCTGAAAGGGAGAGAGGGGTCGGGAAGCGTGGGTTCCAAAGGGATCGGAGTGTCTGTGTCCCTGAGACACCGAGGGCGAGCGTGCAGGGCCAGCGAGGGGAGGGGGCTGTTGGTCTTTATCACAGCGGGAGCTGAGCAGAGCGGTGTCGGTGTCCTGTCACAGTCTTACACAGCCTCAGGGAGAGCTCCGTCTGGGATATTGTGGGCAGCTCCTGTCTCCTTATCGGATGGAGGATGGATCTGAGGGGGAGGGTAGCAGAGGGTCCCCAGATTAATCCCTGGGATGGTGGGATCGTCCTTTCGGGAGAGATTGAGGAGACTGAGTCTGTCTTCCTGGGGTTTTTGAGGACTGAGAGAGGACCTCATTTACAAAATCCTCGTGGAGTGGAGAGAGGGTGCTCCCGCATTGGCTGGTTATTCCAGAAACAGGGAACTGTCCCCATGGGCAAGAAACAGCTTTTAGTGGTTTACCCCGTTATACCGTGCAAGGAATTTATCCACGTGGTCAACTCAACTCTCCATAACTCTGGGACATCCCACTCTGCACAGTCTCTATTAGACCCTTTGAGATTAGCAACCAGACGATACTCAGCTTCACTCCCTTAGAATGCAAATCTAAATTTACACAGGGAGACCAGAACTACACACTGATCCCTCCGATAGGGGAACAGGCTGCCCGGTGTGTGTAAATGGGGGATGGGGTGGGTGAGAGGGTTAATCCCCCTCCGATAGGGGAACAGACTGC